AACTTTGGAGCTGTTGGTATACCAGGCTATTAACAACTGTGGTAATTGGAATGTTATTTCCATTTAAAACTTTAATGTATTTTAAAGTCGGTTTCATAAATCTACCAAATACATTGCAGCTAACGTGTTTTTTTCCTGACATTAAATCAAAGGAGCTAGTAAAAACTTGTCAGTCTTATGAAAAGTTAATCAATTTTCAATACAAAAGTAGACAAAGGGAAATTTCCATCTTTAGAAGATTGATCTTGGAAGTTATGGTTGATCTCACTTTTATTGAACATTTTTACTTGCTAGGTGAAGGGTCATTTTTTAGCATTATTACTTTAAATTGCTTTTAATACAATGGGCCAAGACTAGAATTGTAAATAAAAGAAAAAGCCTCTGGCCAAGAGCAAAAAGATTTTCTTGCTCTGGAGATTCTGTGTTTCAGCAGTTTTCTTTATACTCTTGTAAATTCAAAGATCCTATCATTTTCATTATGCTTAATTTTGACGTTGATTCTTTGCTAACTTAGCTATTTGACTTCTGGAAGCCTTCTCCATTTTTAGAATAGAAGATGTAAAGTGCCCATATATATTCTAAAGAAACATCTGTCAGAGAGAAAACATATGTTGAGAAAGAAGTGTATATTCAATATGACTCTGCCTGCTGCCCACACTAGACATAAAGATGAATAATACAATTTTACCTTACCTACTAGGGCTGCATGATCTATTTTGTGGCTATATTTGGAATCCGTTTTTCTTTCCTTTTCATTTTTCCAAGTTGAATATTTATGTTTTGATACACTTTCAAGGAGATATTATTTTGTCAGAGAAAACATGTCCAGCTCTGTTCTTGTTACACGGTGTGCTCTTGGGGGGATACTTACAGTCATCTGATATTTCACTGGGTTTTGTTAAAGAGAGTTTGTGCAGTTGTTCTGCTTTATTTTATTGTTTTTTGATATTAGTAATGTACACAGATTAGCAATAACATTGCTGTAAAGACTAAGAATAGACTTAACAGTATCTCACATACAAAGACTGCTACCTCAATACAGGATTCCAACTTAACCCTCACCCATTCTCATGAAACCGTAACTGTTGTTGTTCTCATGGGGTAACTTGTTACCCTGCAATTCAACATGACTGTTGGACTCATGGCGTAACTTGTTACCCCACCTGCATGAACAAAATGGAACCAGTGACAACAGTATAAAGGTACCAAAAACTATTAATTAAACGCACAGATTATTTGACAGAGTATATAGTAGGGGTGTGCAAAGCAGGCCTATTGGATTCAGATTTGGCCCAAATCAGGGACAGTGATTCAATTCATTGATTCGGATCACTGTCCCCAATTCGATTCAGCTGAATCCGAATCTGAAGATTCAATGTTGATTCGGAGAATCAGTGATTCAGACGTAGATGCAGCTTTAAATGTTTTTTCTACATACCTCGAGGTACCAGTGTGGCTTGTGAATGCTGTGATGCTGGGGCGCATGGAGCATCCCACAGGAGTGTAGGGGGGCCCTCCAAATGCTCGGCAGCAAACCCATAAGTACTTCTGGTCCACTTATGGGTCTGCCAGGGAGCGCGCTGGGGGGGCGCACATCCTCCCCCCAGCTAAGCAATTGGTGATGGGGCGACACTGGGTGCCCCCTCCAGACCCAGGAGGCTCCAGTCGCTGAGCCAGGGAGGGGAGTGTGGAAGCCCCCTGCGCACTCCCTGGCAGACCTGGAAGTGGACCAGAAGTGCTTCTGGTCCACTTCTAGGTCCACTGCTGAGGGTGCTGGGGACCGCCCCCCCACACGCTCCTGTGGGACACTCCATCTGCCTCACCATCGCAGCATTCACGAGCCCCTGCTACCTAGAGGTATGTAGAAAAAACAGTTAAACTTGGGTCTATGTCTGAATCACCAAATCTTTCCAAATCTCTCCAAGTCGATTCAGGGGGTTCTGATTTGATTCAGAGAGATTAAAGGGTCCTCTAATTCCATTCGGAGATTTGGCCACTGAATCAGGTCGAATGTCCGCTGAATCCAATCAGAGACTAAAGCTTCACAGAGCCCTTGTATATATGATGATTTGAACCAAAAATATTATTTAACTAGAACTATGAACAAAATTTAAACTTTTTTGAGAGTTTCAAAACATGAATGAACAATTTGTTAATTCTGCTGTTCACACAGTTTTAAAACTAACAATTACTTCCAAAAACACTTCCTAACTGTTTTAACTAAATATTGCATTCCTCTTGAAGTAGCAGTGATGTACTGTGGTGCACACAAAAAATTGCTTACAATCTACATATGGTTTCCAGGTTTTGCGGTCATCTGTCCAAAAGCACAATGTCCACTCATGCTCACAGAAGGTTCTACTGGGTGCATTGTGGCAATTTGTAATTTAGGGCAGTCATACCAAACTTGATGGACTTAGACAGATTACATGTATACATCATTCCTTGTTTTATTTGTCCATTGATCAACTGTTCTCCAGGCTCCTGGGAAGAAAAGCTCCGTCGTCTTAAATGTGATCTTTGCTTCCAGTTTACATTGTGGCTTAGCCAAATGATGGGGCTGGCAATGGCAGCCACATCCAGCATATTGAAAAATAGTGTCATTGGCCACCTGTTGATTTTTCCATCTGCAGGTGGTCATACGGACTGTACTCAAGGTTATCCACCCCACCCTTGTTTTTATTGTAGTCATGGGTGCTGTCCGGCTTTTTTTGCTCTCCACCCACTGACAGATCATGTTGCATGCTTGACAGCAACAGCACAATTTTGGACTTCTTTGGAACATAGGAAACTAGGGTGAGTTCCCCAACAAAAGCAAAAATGAATATAAAAGTTTCCTTTCTTCAACTTGCTTGAATTTTGTTTGGGATGTTGGCCTTGTTTTTCCAAATTGTACCCAAATAGGTCAAGTCCTGCTGTAGTAGTCTTTCTACCAGGTCAGTACTTGTGAAGAAATTATCACCCACAATATTGCTTCCCATCTTGTACCAGTTTTCTCAATGTCCTGGCTACCAAAATTACCTTGGCATGGGGCGTCTGGTTGCTTGCCCAGGTAGATGTCTCCAGACAGGGGGAATGGTGTTGCTGCATCACAGCACCACCACATTTTCAAGTCACATTTGACAGGCTTTCTGGACATATACTGTCTGAAGGGACAGCGACCCCTGAACACAATGAGGTGTATTCCTGAAGTACTGGAAGACTCATTTCTTCTCCCTTAGATAGTACTCTTTCTCTTGGCTCCACATATCTCCCTTTCCTGGCTGTCCAGTAAGTTAGATTCAAAAGAAGATGTGTAGAATGATCTGGTTAATGCTTGACATTTATAGGCATACTGTAAGCAATCCTATTGTGTCATGATACATGTGTACCTAATGAGCATGCTCAGTAAGCACACACAGACTTGGATCACAAATTGTGTAAGCCAAGAACTGCAGTTACACAGCTTCATATTTATCATTTAGTTGCATAAAGGGGAATAGGATTTAGACCAAAAATCATTAACTTCACATTCCATGGACTCCTTGGAACATATTAACTTCATACAATCTCTAGGGTCAAAACCTCTACTGCTAAGAAAGAAATATCTATGGCCACAGAGATCCATATTTTATCCCCTGGCTAAGAAGGAAAGGCTAAGATCTTACATCCCTCAACCATATATTCACAGCCAGTTCCCTCTTAAGTTGCACAGGATAGCTGTAGTAAAGGCAACCCCTAGGGCTGTGGGAAGCTTCGGGTGGTGATTCGATTTGGGGGAGATTTGGCTCAATTCGGTAGCAAGATCTCTGAATCCAAATCAAAGGACCAATTTAAAGGTCCAAACTGAATCAAAGCTCTCCAAACCTCTGGAAAAGATTCGGAAAGCTTTGATGATTTGGGCAGTCCCTGGTGGCTGCAGCAGGGAGCTGCAGCCACTCCAAGAGGGTAAGTAATAGGGGCAGGGGAGAGAGGGCTGGGGGAGGGTACCATGGGGGGGATCCCTGCCACCCCTACTGACCCCCCCCACTCTGCCAGCTGCCCCCCATGGCTGCCTCCTCCGGCCCCAGCTCAGCCCTTTAAAGAAAAGCCCTTGTGCTCCCTGGGGGCTGCTGGGGGGGGGGGAGCGATTCCTGCTGCCCCACACTGCAGGGGAGCTATGCCATGAGCCCCCTGACCCCTGCTGCTCCCCCATCCCCCCCCACAGGTGCCCCGTGAAGGCCAGCTCCAGTCCTTTAAGAAAAAATAAACTGAGGAAAGCCCCAGGACTCACTGCTCCTGCAGCAGCCTCAGGACTTCAGGGGCTTTTTCAGAGCCCCCCACGTGGTGTGGAAGAGTGGGGGGGGCACTGGGGATCACCCCCCCCCATGGGCAGGAGTGGTGAGTGTGGGGGTTTTTTTTTATTTTTCTTAAAGGG